TTATTAACATAGAAATAATTAATAATAAATAATTTGGTCCTTCAATCTAAATTGATAGTTAAAATTAATAATTTTGGAACCCTTATCAATTTTTTTAAGGTTTTAATTTGATTCTTTCGTCTAAATAAGACGTTAAAATTAATAATTTTAGAATGCTAGTCAATTTTTCTAAGATATACACACACAAAATGTAACGCCCTCAAAAAAATAACATTAAACCCATCAAATAAGACATTCATTGACATATGAAATAACCACATTCTTCTATTCGTCAGAGTTTCATTACAAAAGTATTACATGTTAACAACAAAAGCAAAATGCCCTACGGGCTTACAGCTTTGCAAGTTAACACTTGGTTATAACAAAAGAGTGCTAACTCATTTACACATTAAGCCCTTGGCTTGAATTTACATGTAATACATCAAAAAGGAACTAAAAAAACAACAATCTTCTCTTCTCTAGCCTTCCAAGCTAGTGACCTTAGGAGGTGGACATAGCTACCTGTACCTGAAAATGATATTCCCAATATAGGGTGCACGAGACGGCACAGCCAGCTAGTAAATCACATAACACCAACCATGAACAAATGACTAAGATTAGACAATTGACTAGATGCACAACAGGAACCATCACATAAATTCACATTTTTATGTCATCCGACTATAGTAGAAGTCAATTACTTTTCATTCTCCCTTTTCAACAAATAAGCATGTTTAGCTCTATCAATCATTTCAACAGATATTAATAAAACTATATTCCACATTCACAGATAAGCATATAAGCATACCCACATTCTCAACAGATATGTATAACACACATATCCCCACATCACAATAAGCATATAAGCTGTATCCACATTCACAAAGATAAGCAATATGAGCTCTATCTCACTTCTCTAGACAAGCATATGAGTTGTATCTACGGAGTTCATCCCCTATCTTCTCCAAATACATCCGGTTAGAGGTACTCCCCCATCTTCCCCTAAACCGGGAGTACATCCCCCATCTCCTCCCTTACACATAACGTAACAAACACATTGGTTTCTATATACAATCACTCAATAGCATATATTAATGTATTCTATCAACCGTCACATTCCATGACACATTCCATTGATTAGTTTCCGTTTGCCTAATCACATGCATGTCTACAACAATCACGACTATCCTCCACCGATAGCCCAAAGCAGTTATTTCTAAACTAGAAATAATAGCACAAAAGGAATTCAATCAACATTTCATTTGGTGTGTGATAAACATTCCAACTACACCCTTTACCCCATAATTCCCCAAATCTAACATTCCGTTTCATTCCTCATTTTCCCACAATTAATTATCGCAATTAAATCAACCAATGTAATTTAGGTCATTTTTCATAATTATACATTACAACCCTGTAGTCCCTTTTCATCAAAATGATTGCAACATTTATTCCTTTCTCTATAACCAACACAAATGTACTAGGTTATTATAAAATAAAACCCAACTTTTTGTAAAATAAACACAAAGCCCCAAACTTTCACAAAGATTACCAAACCAACCCCCAACATCTCAATACCAAAATTTAAAGACAAAATCCCATAGAAGGAGTACGGATATCCCTACCTCAACCCGGAGCCCCAAAAGGAGTAAAATGACAAAACCAACGTGCTACCAAATCCCTGAAATTTCCAGACTTTAATAACTGTAGCCCTTTGACGATCAACAACTTTTTATAAAGGCCAAAAGATGAAGCAAATCACTCCTACTAGATCAAAACCTAGAGCGAGAATGTAGAGTTCTAGAGTGAGAGGCTCAACAATGGTGTTTTTGGAAAAGTAGGAGAGAGAAGAGAAAGCGAAAAGTGATTTGAAAAGTCAAAACTCGGAACTTAAACCCAGTCGCCCCGCTCGAGCGTCAAACGCCCCGCTCGAGCGTCACTCACAGACTCCCGCTCGAGCGTCAACAATCCCGCTCGAGTGGCGGATACACACTCCCAGAACTTTTACAGAACCAGGTCTCCGCTCGAGCTTCTAACTCCCCGCTCGAGCGGCACTCACACAACCCCATTCGAGCGGCCAATCGCACGCTCGAGCGTCCAACACTGCACAGGAAATACTGGATGGGTGCAATTCTCGCTCGAGCGCCAAAACCCCCGCTCGAGCGGACAGGTCAAAATCTGGGCAACTAGTTTTGGTTTCTAAACCCAACCAACCTGAAACAAACCTGCCCAACACATCCTATAATTCCAAAATAGAAAATAAGGGACAACAACAACCATTATACAATGACCGAATCTACGGAACCTATGTCCGGACACAATAGTCAAATGGGAAAAGACCGGGGTCGCTATACTTTCGTCTAAATAAGACGTTAAAATTAATAATTTTAGAATGCTAGTCAATTTTTCTAAGATATACACACACAAAATAACAAAAGTTTAGACAAAATAATCAAATTAAAACTAGTTTTAAAGTATAAGAACCACATTGTTCAAATTTAACCTATAGAAACTAAAGTGAAATTTGGATCAAACTTAGGATGAAAAGTGTAATTAATCTATTCCTACGAGATGTGTTTTTGGGTAGCAAGTGAGCCGTTTGGGTTTATTCTTTTTGTTTTTTTTTTCTTTAATATGTTTGAGAAATTATTAAAAAAGTTACTTTCGTTTATAAAAAAAAATTACATTTGAGTTTTTTAATTAATGACAAAAGATTTGATGAATTTTTAGCTTTCTTCAATAGAGGCGAACTTTGTTATGATGTTGGCAAACATACCGTCCTTCTATGTTTCCTCAATATTCACTTGTGAGAAATATAAGGATATAAACTTTTTTTTAATGCATTTTGTATATTTTGTGATAAATGTTACGTGATTTCCTAATAAATTATGATAATTTCTAGTTTAAAAATAAAATTATGTATTTTTATGGTTTACAATAATACTGAATTACAAAATGTGTAACATTATACCACAAAAAATGCATAGCATTACAACAAAATTGTGTAATTTCATTTCTACCAAAAAATTATATACATCTCTCACAAAAATGTATAACTTATATGAAGAAAATGCCTAACAAGGTAAATATAAGGGGACGTACTAAAAATATTCCCTTCTTATAATTGTCACATGTGCTACGGAGTTGCTATGGTGTACATATTTAAAAAGTACATATTGTATAGACTTTACCACAAGGGATGTAACTTAATTATAATATTCCTTAACAAATACCACATATGTGGCTCCCTCTAGGTTGTTCACTATTTTAATATCGATTCTATCACATTTTTTTTAATGGAAGAAAAACAATTTCGAACATTGCTTAAGAAGTCTTATTTTAGTAGATAGATTGACTTAGGGTTGATATTTTATGTAACCCAACGTGTTTTTTTTTTTAACCCAACACTGATACAAGAAAATATGCTTATATATATATAAATATTTCATCTTATTTTTTACTTTTTATATTAATAGAAATTGATATAGTTCGTATTTTTTTTAAAGAAATTATTAATATATGTTTGTTTCTCTATGCTAAAATTTTGAATCAGTCCCTAATTCCAACTTTTGAACATTTCAAAAAATTTCACAAGGAGAAAAGGAATTGATGCAAGTTGGTGCCAAATTGCTATGCAATCAGCAAAAATATATGTGGACAAAATGCAAGCATAAAAATATATTTTAAAATTATTAAATGATTTAAATTCAACATTTTGTATAGTATAACTCACGTCAGGATAGGATAGTTGGCTCAATAGTCCATGTATCTATCTCTTAGGACAGTGAGAATGTTAGATGTTCAGGTTTTGAGTTCATGGAGTAAGTGAGGTCCTTTTATTATAATCTAACTTACTAATCCAAGAAAATGTTACAAAAAAAAAAAAAAAAAACCCTCACATCTTCACAAACATGGAAAATTTATTCATAAATCCCATATAGGAGAATGTTGATCCATTTAGTCCTAAAAATTTTCTTATGAACCAATTAATAATTTTTGTTTTGGAAAGTTATATTTATTTTATTTGGTATCATTTGAATTTAAGTGAATGCTCTTTTGTGATTTATTTTTCTAATTTTCATACTCATTTTTGGGACGGAAATGGAAAAGTGATATGTGGAAGATTCTTTTTAGAAGGATTGGTAGCTGAAGTGTTGGTTGTCGAGCCTAAAAATCTACATTTCTGCTAGTGTGGTTTTCTAATATTACATTGGAGTATTACATTAGAGTGCTATACATAGAGAGAAAAAAAAAAGTACACTAAGGAGCTTTTGTGTGTTACATTGATTGGAATGTTACGTTTGGAAAAAAATAAACTAAAGAGTTGTTTTTGGAATGTTACATTGTTACGTTTGAGAAAAGTACACACTAAGAAGTTTTTTAGTGTGTTATATTGGAGTGTAATGATTGGAAAAAGTATACTAAATAGTTTTTTTGAAGTATTACATTTAGTAATTTTAACATTATGAGAAAACTCACATTTATCTTTTAACACATAACACACGTTTATACTTAGTTATTTATGTAATTCGTACTAGAATGAAACCTTTGGATCTATAAAAAAAATAGAGTACCAAATAGTACATAAGATCACTATTTGAGATTTAGTGGTGCTTCGCCTCTTCTTCTTTTTTTATTACTTTTTAAATTTATATTAGATTATTTGGTATAATTGTATTTTACAATTTATTAAGTAGAAATATATATATATATATATATATTTGGATCAATCAAAAGAAAACATTTATTGATGAAACAAATAATACAAAAACATGAGCATAACATCAATAAAAGGGAAAGAAAGGTGATGCAAATATCATCATAGTTTACATTCTAAATCCCAACTAGGTTGGCACCCAGAAGAAAACCCAATCATCTGACAACACCACCCTAGGCTGGTGAGAAACCAACCAAAACAAAAAAAAAAAAAAAAAAAAAAAGAGAGAACAAAACAAACAACAACACAAGCAATCCACCCACAATCTACACCTAGGCAGACTAGCCACCAACACCTCGCCATCTCAAATACAGAACCTCACTTGACTCAGATTTTCCACAATTTGATGCACAGAGTACTGGACAGAAGGCTTGGACGACTTAACCCACAACCCAACTCTCACTTTCAACACCTCACACAGCTCATTCATATCTGGCTGCTTGCCATTAAACACAACCTCATTTCTTAGCCTCCAAGTGGACCACAACATTACTACTGGTACAAGCAACCAAATTTTCTTAACAGATTTTTTGTGCTTAGTTCCCAACCACCAAGTTAGCACTTCATCCACAATAGTAGGAGAAACCCAACAGAGATTCCACCACTGTAACATACATCCCCAAACCTTCCAAATCTGAAAACACTGCACAAAGAGATGATCCACAGATTCCATAGCAGCTGAACAGAAAGGGCAATCAGTCACAGCAGTATGACCTAACACTCCAAATTTTTACAGAACAACAGCTGTTTTGATCTTACCTCTCCGAGCCAACCAACTTATAAATTGTGCTTTGGGTGGTGCTGCATTAATCCAAATCATCTTAGGAACAGGTAACCTAGGTCCAGACCTTAACAGCAACCATTTCCTCACAGATAGCACTGAAAACTCACCAGAAGAGGCAGTACCTCTTAACATCTTGCAGCTCCACATTCAGCATAGGAACATCCCTTGTCAACAAATGCAACTTCCTCACATCCTCTTCCTCCCAAGCAAATAATGACCTTCTGAATTAAAGCCTCCAATCACCCTCACTGTCCCTCCTCTGCATAAATGAACACAACAGTCCATCTTTATCCATAAAGAGCCTAAACAATTTGGGAAACTCCTCTTTCAATTGTAAATCCCTAAACCATCTATCATGCCAAAACTGAATCCTACACCCATTCCCAACCACAATCTTGCACTGTGACACAAAAAACTGAAACAACTTCGGATTAGATCTTTCCACACTTAGAACATCACTCCACAAAATAGATTCCTTACCCTCCCCATCCTTCAATGGTAGCCATCTACCACCTGCAGCCAGTGGCGACTCTAGGAATTTTTGTCAGTGGTGTCAATCAAAAACTTAAATACCATATATCTTACAGAAAATTCACATTAATCATTATATCACCTATGGAAAAAAAATCAACAAATTAATTAAAATTCTAAAATTATAAACAAAAATATTTCAATATATTGATACTATTGTTTAAGCAAAAAGACATGCAAATACACGAGCTTCTACAATTGACCATGACGAGATTTCATATTTTGAAATCGTTGAATAATAAGCTCATTATCAACACTATCAAATATATCTTTCTCAATATATGTAACCAAACAATCATTCAACCATTGATCTCCCATTCGGTTACGCAATCGATTCTTTATGAATTTCATTGCTCAAAATGCTCTTTCCACTGTTGCAGTCGCAACTGGTAAAATCAACGCCAATTTCACAAGCAAATAGACTAATGGATATACAATATCTTTCTTTGTCTCTACCAACTTTCTAGTAAGGTCACCAATTCCTTTGAGTTCGGAAAATTCATTGCTAGAGCGCATGTCAACAATGTAGTTTTGAAGTTGATTATCAAGTGCCATGAGATCTACCGCAGAAAAATCAGATGGATAGAATTCAGCAAGATGGATTAACTTTTGCTTATCAAAAGCACAAAATGAATTATTGGGGTTCAAGCATGCCACGCATAGAAGCAACTCTGTACTTGCCTCTGTAAACCGGTTGTTAAGCTCTTGAAGTTGCATATCTATAACAGTGTAGAAGATCTCAACACGGTAGTGGTATAAATTTATGATTTCAGGAGCTTTGCGGCGTAACCTCCCACGAGCTACAAATCTATCATCGATGTTAGGGATAGGAATATCATGTTCACCACAAAATAAGTACACTTCTTCCAATAGGGATTCCCATTCATCATCTCTCATCATTTGCAATCGTTGCTTAGACACTTTAACTAATGTCATTGCATTTACAATATCTTGATCTTTTCTTTGTAGTGCTAATGACAACTCATGTGTGATCCCTAATATATTTTTCATTAAGTGTGAAGTGAAGACAAATTCAAAAGATTGCATTGAATCCATAAGAGAACGAGCTTCAACTCTTCGCTCGGCGTGTAAACCATCCTCTTTAACAACCTCAAGCACATCAATAACAAACGGGAACATCAAAATCAAGTTTATAATTGTTCCATAATGTGATCCCTAACGTGTATCACCAGCCCTTTTAAGATTTGTTTCTTGATTCAAACCTTGCCCACTTAAGAGTTCACCATTGTTCAATGCTTCAGCAACTTTAGTAGCTTGTGCCTCTCGAAGAATATCCCGTCTCTTACAAAACCCTCCAACAACATTCACCAAATTGGAAACCAAGCAAAAAACTTCAGCAACATCAATGTGATTTTTAGCAACAGCAATAAGAGTCAACTGAAGTTGATGAGCAAAACAATGAACATAATACGCTGATTTATTCTCCCTCAGAATTAAAGTTTTAAGACCATTGAATGCACCTTGCATATTAGAAGCTCCATCATAACCTTGCCCACGTATTCTTGCTAAGCTCAATCCATGCCTAGAAAACAAAGACTCAATTGCCGCCTTAAGTGATAAAGCTGTGGTATCTGCTACATGTACAATACCAAGAAACCGCTCTGTAACAATACCCCTTTTATCTACATAACGTAGAACAACAGCCATTTGTTCTTTGATCGACACATCACGAGATTCATCGACTAATATTGAAAAATACTCATTGCCAAGATCTAGGATGATAGCATTGGTAGTTTCACTTGCTGCAGCATTGGCAATATCTTTTTGAATATTAGGATGACATAACTTGTTATTTTTTGGAGTATTCTTCAACACAACTTCATTGATAGATTCATTGTGATCAGCTAGAAACTGTAAAAGCTCAAGGAAATTTCCTTTACTACTTGAATCATTAGATTCATCATGACCACAAAATGCTAAACCTTGTCGCAAAAGAAACCTTATGCAATCAATTGATGCGTTCAAACGAGTTCGATATTCAATCTTTCCTTGTTCAGATTGCTTAGAAAAAGCACTTTCAATGTGTTGCTTTTGTTTCATAAGAACCTCACACTTCTTCACAGCTTGATTATGAGCACTATTAAGACCCCCAACGTGAATTCGTAGCCTTTCTTTCTTGTTCCAAGTTGTGAACCCTCCCGCCACAAAAGTGTCACCACCCGCTTGTTTACCGGTATCAGGTCTAAATAAATAACAACATAAGCAAAATACAGCATCCTTTTCTATGCTATATTCCAACCAATTCTTGTTTTCTTTAAACCAAGCAGGATTAAACCGACGCATGACTCCACTAATGTCTCTTTGAGGAAAATTGTGGTCAAGAGGTTGACAAGGACCCTTTTGTAAATATGCTTTTCTGATTTCATCTTGATTGTTAGGATGATAAGAAGAAATTTTTTGTCGTAGCCCCGGGTCAGATGGAAGATTGTTCACATCTACATGACTTTTCTTAGAAGAAGTTTCTTCTGTAAGAGATGAATCTTCTACTACTATTGATTTTCTTTTAAGAAATTTGTCCATAGCGGTAAAGCTAATTGGCAAAAAAAAAATAAAGAAAAACATTGTAAAACATACCACCAAATCAACCACTCATAAATCAATTACAGTGCAACGTAACATCTCTAACAAAGAATACCAAGCATTGAAGCATCATATGCATAATAATACATTTACAAATTATAAACAATTAGTGAGCCAAAAAAACAAAACTAAAGGGGGAAAAAAACCCTAATTTTTAGCCCCAATATAAGGGGGAAGTTAAACAATATTGATGTTTTAACAAAACATATACAAACAAAATATACATAATACATTTACAAACAAGACAATTATTGAACAAAAAAAAAGCCCTAATTTTTACCCCCAAAATTGTTGATTTGTATTTATTCTATCCAAAATACTATAAAATAGAGAAATGATTATACAAAATTTGCCTAATAACTGAGTAGAGTAGTTGATGTCAATGTTGGAAAATATTGATGATGAAAACAGAGAGATGTGGAGAGTGATGAAGAATGAGAGAGAGCTTGGAGTTTCTCTAAGCCATCTGCCGCCTTGCCTGAAGCTTGAAATGAAAAGAGATGGCATTGGCAAGGATAGTCTGGCTTCCAATGCAAGATACAAACAACCACTTTACAAATAAAATATATTAAACAAAAAGTAAACAAAAGATTGATGCACCTTGACGTCAGGTCTCCAATTTCCAAAGCAAGAATACAAACTATCAATTTACAAATAAAATATTTTAAACAAAAAGTAGACCCAAAAAAAAAATATGACTTTACAAATAAAATATTTTAAACAAAAAATACGAAAAAGTTAAAAAGTAAACTTTTTTCATTGGTGGGTTCAAAAGAGTAGGACTTAAAACTATGGGTTCAAAATTGTATTTTAGTGGGTTCAATAACTAATTTTTTTCCTAAAATCTAATATTTATATAATAAATAAATAAATAAATAAATTCAGCCAGGGAGTTCGGGTGACACCCCTGACCAAGCCTTGGAGCCGCCCCTGCCTGTAGCCCATACTTATTGATAATAACCTTTTTCTACAGTAAATGATCCTCCACCCCATACCTCTACCACCACTTTAATAACATACAGGCATTAGTATCCCTTGTCTTCCTAATGCCTGACCCTCCTTGGTCTTTGTTCATTGAAACATCATTCCATTTCACCATATGGATCTTCCTTCTCAACTCAGAACTGCCCCATAGGAAAGCTGACTTCAACTTATCAATTTCCTTAGCAATACCAATTGGTAAATTGAATAAAGAAATATAGTAACCAGGAATACTATCCAAAACTGATTTCACCAAAGTTAGCCTTCCAACAAAAGACAAGAGCTTCATTTTCCACATAGCTAATCTTGACTTAACCTTATCCACCATAGTTTGCCAAGCCTTCTTCCTTCGCAGATTCGCACCCAATGGCAAGCCTAGGTACTTTAAAGGTAACTTTTGACTTAAACAATGCAGGGTTGAAGCAAAATCATGAACCATCATATCACTAACTCCAACTCCACACACCACACTTTTATGAAAATTGATCTTCAGCCCTGACATTACCTCAAAACATCTCAGAATTCTTTTAACATTAATAATCTCCTCCCATTCAGCTTCACGAAACTGCAGATCCTACAATAGTGTCATCTGCAAACTGGAGATGAGACAGCTTCAATACTGCAGATCCTACAATAGCTCCCTGAAATAAACCTTGACTTTTTGCCCTTTCCAACAAAATATTTAACCCTTCTACTGCAATGTTAAACAAAAAGGGTGACAAAGGGTCACCCTGCCGCAACCCCTTTTGTGGACTGAATTCATTAGTTGGAGAGCCATTAACTAAAACGGATACTCTTGCAGTGGTTACACAGGTTTTCATCCAACCAATCAATCTATCTCCAATCCCAAGATTAGCCATCATGGAAAACATATACTCCCAAATTGACTGAGTCGTAAGGTTTTTCAAAACCCAACTTTACTATGACCCCTTGTCTTTTTGACTTTTTCCACCAATCAACTACCTCATTAGCAATCATTACGCCATCAAAGATATTCCTACCACCCAAAAAAGCCATCTCCACCTCACTAATGACATTAGGTAGCACCTGTTTCAGTCTTCTTGAAAGCACTTTTGCTAAGATCTTATAGACAACCCCCACTAGACTTATCGGCCTATAATCTGTTAGGCCATTTGGACTTTCCTTTTTCGGTATGAGAGTGATAAAAGAGCTATTTAGCTCTTTAACCAACTTGATATGCTGATAAAACTCCTGCATAAACTTGAATATATCAGTCTTCATAAACTTCTAACATTTCTAAATGCATGCCATATTAAACCTATCCGAACCTAGCGCTTTATTCCCATCACACTCTTTAACAGCCTCACATACTTCTTCCAATGTGAATTCAAGCTCCAGTACTGCCACCACCCTTGCGTGACCAATTGGCACTCTTTAACTTAAGTAATTTAAAAATATGTTTTTTCATCCTCCACAATAGGAGTGTGGTTTGGTGCGGTATGAAGATAAAATTAAAACGAAATCATGATTTAACAAATCTGCTATTTATAACAACACTGTGTTTTAGATGGTTTCAACTTATAGTTGATCGGAGAATAATTTTAAATAATTATTAAGTATCTGCATTATACATAACATTAATTTGTAACAAATTTTACATTTTAAATCTCTCTCAAATTTTTAGTTTTATATTTCGTTGGAAGTAATGTTAACTATGGTGGAGCGATGAGATTTCAAACACAAGTTTTAAATTTCAAATTGCAAACTAAATTAATCCACAATTAGCAAGAGAATCAATACAAATTAAACAATGTTTATAAACTAAGCGTTATTTTATACAGCCCTACTCCACAATTGGCTGGTGGCACGATCCTTTTTTGCAACTCATGCCACCACCACCATGAGATTGTTTTCTTCCCCTTTCTATCTCTATATGTTTCCCCTTTTCTCTCTCTAAAATATGCCAAAACACATTTTTTCTCTAACAAACCACAAATTCTGTAGTTCTAAAAAAATATCATTCGCGTTGTTTTGTTTTCAATTTTCAAAAATAGTTTTCTAAATTTTCAATTCATATTTTTATATTTTTAATAATTTTTTTAATATTTAAATTCACTTAAGCTTAACATACTTAAAAAGTAAAAAAGTTGTACAAAAATATTTTAAAAATTCATTGAATACAACAAAATATGAAAATGTATTGAATTTTCATATTTCTTTTGTATTTTTTTGTATTTGGAGAAATTTTTGATGTTTTTTTTTTCTTAAATATTATGCTTTTTAAGCATTTTTAGATTGTGTATCTAAAAAATAAAATTTTTGCGTAAAATATTAAAAAATTTACTAAAAACAAAATACGAAAAATAAAAATTTGTGAGATGTAGAGCTACCTCTATAGCTTTTTAATTGAGTAATTGTGAGATTTCATTTTTTTATATATAATTTCATATTCGATATAGATTCCCTTTAAGGAAAATTTACTTATAAATCTCATCTTGAGGAATGGTGATCCATTTAGTCTCAATGATTGTTTTATAAATCAATTAGTCTCATTGATTTTGGAAAGGTAGATTTAATATATTATTTGGAAATTAGATTTACAGTTATACCCTTATTTCTATTATGTTTTTTTCTTTTTCTTTTTTTTTTCTTCTTTTATTCTAGAAAGGTAAGATACACAATCTATGGGAATCAAATTTATAATGAATTTTATGATAATCTTTTTATTTGAAAATCAAAAGGAGTAAAAAAATGACTTGAAATATGGAATTCTTCAAACATTCCAAAGGGATGTGAAAATTGTCAAACATTTCAAAAGGATTACAAAAACTCCTTAATAAATTTTGAAAAAATATATAATTTCAAACTATAACACTCTTATATAATATTCCAATATAACATTTCAAAAAAACTCCTTACAAAAAAACCAACTAACCCTTAGGAAACTAAGAGTATGATACAGACACCTCGTGCCACAAAAGATCAACAACCAACAGTGTAATGCGATCTGTATTCCGAGCGTATTTCCAAGTTCCTCTCAAAAGCCATTACTTTACGTTCAGCTAGTATTAAAAAGGCTACTCCTAGTAGAACTGGTAGAATTATTCCAAGTATTTCAGTTAGAACAATTATGTACTTTTTTTAAGCGTAGCATTCTAGTATAATATTTCAAAAAAAATTCTTAATGTACTTTTTCCAAAGAAGACACTCTAATACAACACTTCAAAAAAACTCCTTAGTGTACTTTTTTCAAAAAATGACACTCCAATATAACACTCAAAAAAACCTCCTTAATATACTTTTTTTTCCAAAAACACTCCCATATGACACTCTAAATTTTTTTTTTTTAGTGTAACACTCTAATATAACACGAAAATTCCTTAGTGTACTTTTCTCAAACATAGCACTCCAATATGACACTCTAAGAAAAGGATGTGGGATTTTTTTTAAACCATTTCAAAAGGATGTGGGATTCTTCAAACCATTACAAAATGAGTACAAAAATTTCTTAGTAAGTTTTAGGCAAATGTATAATTTCAAACTGTGAGCGTTACGTTTGGGAAAAATACACTAAGGAGTTTTTTAGTGTTTTTAAGTGTGTTACATTTGGAATTACATTGATTAGAGTGGTACGTTTAGGAAAAGTACACTAAAAAGTTTTTTTGTGTATTATATTGGAGTGTTATGTTTGGCAAAAACATGCTAAGGATTTTTTTTGGAGTGTTATGTTGTTATATTTAAAAAAAAAGTATATTAAGAAGTTTTTTAGTGTGTTACATTGGAATCTTACATTAAAATGTTGCGTTTTTGTTTGTAATGTAGGATTTGTTCCAGAAGGAGAAAAAATTCAAAACATCTATAGCGTGGATTGCCTAAATATGTAATTTTACATTTGGAGAACTATACTTTTTGATAAGATTACTGAGTCATCATCAGTTGCATAAGATCAAGAGGCACATCAGAGCTTATGCAACTGAGTACACAACATATCAAAGCTTCTATTAGTTAATATAACCGTATTTTTAACATCAGTTGAGTTTGTTCTCATCTGTTAGATATAGAATAGATATAGTTGGTTAGGTTTTACTGATGTGTAAATATAGATGTGGTGTAACAGATTCATTCATTTGAATAATAGTTAAGAGATTCATATCTTCTTCATGGTATCAGAGCAACTGCTCTAACGAGCTTCGGTTATGGAAGTATCTTCAATGGTGTTCATGGAGGACTCTGTATTCCTCCTAATCTCACACTTTTGATTTCTAATTTGAACTCATTTGTTGCTGTCAAATTGGATTCTTCAAATTACATCATCTGGAAAAATCAATTCCAGAGCATACTCTGTGCTACATATCTCCTGAGTTTTGTTGATGGTTCTGATGATTGTCCCTCTGAATTTTTGCTTGATCTCCATGGTAACAATGTGATCAACTCTGATTTTCTAAAGTGGAAGCAGATCGATTCTCATTTGCTTAGTTGCATCACAGCAACTCTCACCTCTTCTATGTTTACCTATGTCTTTAAATGTACAAATTGCAGAGAGGTTTGGTCACTTCTTGCTAAGAGATTTACTTCTCTTTCTCGTACACATATTCATCAACTCAAGAATCAATTGACTAACATCTCAAAGAAATCTTTGACAATGGAAGCATATCTTAGTCAACTTAAGACCATCTCCAATCAGTTGGCTCTTGCCTCTTCACCTATATCTGATGAAGATCTTATTCTCATTGCTCTCAATGGTCTTCTTGCTGAGTATAATGCCTTGAAGACTACCATTCGTGCTCTAGTTGAACCTATCTCTATGGCAGATCTTTTATAGCGACCCCGGTCTTTTCCCGTTTGATTATTGTATCCGGACTTAGGTTCCGTAGATTCTGTCATTGTATAATTGTTGTTGTTGTCCATTATTTTCTTATTTTGAGTCTTGGGTTGTGTTGGGAAGATTTGGAGCAGGTTGGTTGAGCTTAGGAACCAAGTCTAGTTGCCCAGATTTTGGCTTGTCCGCTCGAAC